TAATTAAGTGCTTTGCTGAACTGAGACCTAAAAGACCAGACTAAATTACCCAGTTGTTTATAATTTGGTTTTCACAATCTATTTGTCTACATGGCACCAATAACTGGATGCTGCCCTTTGGCAGTGCTTTATACTTGAATATTAGGTATATCAACTGCTCACTACCAACTTATATATCCATGAAAACAGGAAGTGGGAAAGATGAGCTTTTCATAGTCAATAATTTTGATTGACATACAGAACCTAAAGAGTTGACTATAGTTTCAGATATGATGTCAAATTGGACAATGGCTTCACTCATGTCTATGATTAGGTATGGAGCAGTGGTACTAATTTTGCAATTTTATAAACACAGCTTTAGAAATTTAAAACCTTTTCTTTGCCATTCACCTGGCAAGGTCTCTGAGTGATATTCAAGCACCTCTGAGGTGATAACTGCATAAGGAACTGATTTTTACTGTCATTGTGCTCAGTGCCCCTTCACTTGACTCAGTTTTCTTGCAGCTTTGAATTTAGATTTATATTTCTAGATAAACTGATATACTTATTCCAATGCTGACAAGATTAACCTGCGTTTAAGTCTAAAATATGTAGAGTTTGGGGCAGATAGTTCTAAAAAAGGATTGAAATCAGGAGGAAACCAGAGAGCAATAATAACAGTAATAAATAAATTAGAAGATATGACCTGCTGTTGGGGGGCAGGAGAACATGTGGTGGACCTTAATGGAAAATGTCATTCTATGGATAATAACATTCATTTAAATTTTAGGTCTCCCAAAAAGAATGAAAATGTGCAAGATATTTTTCAGAAAATAAGACAATTGCATTATTATTTTTCAGGGAAAAAACCACAAAATGAAATTTTTATTTTACATAATGTTTCTTTATATTTCATATCAATTTAATGGCAATTAACTCTGTAAGCAGTGCATGCTGATACAAAATAAGTTTGAATGAATATATCTATTTAGTATTTGTCAGGGATAAATGCTCTCTTTATAGTTTCCATTGGTTATGTTGTCCCAGCTACATAGCATTAAACACTTCCAAGTTCACTTGCAGTTTGAAGTGAAGCCCCAGCTCTTTCTTTTCTACCTCAGTGACATCCTAGCGGTATCAACATCAGATGTCTATTAATTCAATAGCTGTTCTTTGTCTTAGGTAAAGTGAGCATTAGTTTGATCACAAGTGTATATTTTGGATGTACATATCAGAGTGACTGGGGAAGGGAGGACTGAGTTCCTAAGTGAATGGGTCAAACAATGTAGAAGCCAACAAACTGCCAGTAGAAGAAGAGTGAGAAAATTGGAATTCATTGACAGTCCCTTTTACCAGTAGCCAAGAGTTCTTTAATGGTTCTATGTGGAAGGAAAGTATTGGCATATGGTGTGTGCTTGATAGAAAAGCATAAGCTTAGTTTGGTTTTTGCTTAATTGAAATGTGCCATTCTTTTTATAACTAACAAGACTGCCAATGGCTGGAATAGCAGACACAACAACTTTGGAGCCTCTTCTGGTATCTCCTTCCAATGAAAGACTTACTACAGAGGAAGTAGATGCTTACTACAGAGGAAGTCTGTTTGGGGGCAAAAATAAAATGGCACCCATGATGAAAAGAGTAATATGGAACAGAGGTCAGATATCTAACAAAAACTGTGCAAACTCCATGTATAACAATACAAGCCTACTGGAAATGTCTATTAACTTATACAGACAACAAAATTACACAGGAAAGACCACATCACCACATTTGACAGCTAAGATTTTTCATTACAGATTATTTTATATGACTACTACATTTCAACTTTTTGCTACAAAAAACACCAATCAATTCCACTCTAATCTCCATAGAATTGACAAATAAGTAACTGACTGTCTCGCCAAGAGACATGTATCTGCATCTACATTGACTCAAGGGATGAGCTCTCAAAACAGTCTAGCATTCACAGAGGTGTCTGGAGTATCATCCTTATATTTATACAAACCATATCTGAAAGTTAACCTACAGTCCAATAGTAACATTCTTGCTCTTTAGCCAGGATTTGAATCCCAGACATTCCAATTTCTAACCTCCTCACCGGGTACACTATTGAAAGGGTTAAAGTCACACCTTGGGGATGGGAAAGCTATCACCACAAAAGTTGAGATTAAACTATAAACATTATGCTTTCCAATATAGTGCATTTTACTTGATCACAGTTTTTCTGGAGAAGCATAATAATTATAACATTTTTGAGCAACAAATTTCACCCCTGCTACATGATGACAAGCTTGTATAACATTTTTATTACACTTATGTAATAAAAGATGGAAATAGATTTCCTTGGTACATATAGCATCAGCACTTTATAGGTTCACATTGTAAAATGTCATATCACACTTTTTTTAGGCAAGATCGATTTCTCTCTGAAATAGGTGGCAATGCAAGATGATGTGATATGCTTGGTCTTTATGGGAAGGATAATTAGTCATCCTTTTATAGCCAGCCCTCCTACCAGTATATGGAACAGTGATGACAACTTTTGAAAAGTGTTTACAACTTCAAAAAAACTAAATTAAGTCAAGAAAAATTCTATTACATATGTTCTAGTGTGATAAAAAATGATATTAAATCATAAGTTACTCTGGTACTTATTTTAAAAGCACTAATCATAATAATGTCCGTGACCATTATATAGTAATTTGATATGCAAAGTGCTAATCATCTATCAAAAACAATTATGGTCACTTGAATGGTAATATATCATAACTATTAAATTATATGCAACACTTTCTTAGGCCAGAATTTTTCAGAATTGGATACCTAAAGTTAGGCACCTAGAGCTCTATTTACAAGCTTATATGAAGGTGTCCTGACTGCAGTTTTGAACCACTGTGGGTGCATTTTTGTTAGGACCAGATCTGTGGCTATGGCTAAAGTCTCTTAGTATATGAAATCTGAACACTTTTAAATGTTCACATACGTTTTCTATATTTCCTGTCTAATTATTGTTGATTATCAAGATACTTTTGGGAAGAGAAAACATCTCTTTTCCAATCATCCTCCTTCTACTGGCTGGTTCATTAAGTACTAGTACAATAATGAATGTAACTGTAATTATACAGTGTTGATAATTTTGATATCACAAAGACATGTGTCATTAGTGACTGAATCAAGAACGAGGGGCAGGTTGACTAGAATATCGAAAGCTTGTATAATTCAGCAACACACCTGGAATTTATTCAGAAACAACATTATCTTAAATGTTTTGTTGGTTAAGGTTAAATTCCCCTCTGAAGAGGACCCCATAAGGCCATGTGAACAATAAATTTTCATTCAAGCCTTTAGCATGTGCTTAGTGGTGAACAGGGTTTTTGCCCTCTGTACTGGATAGTATTTCACCATCTGTGTATAAAGTCCTAATATCAAATTTGTGAATCTTTTTTGCAGTGCTAAATGTAATAGCTTTCCTATATTACATAAGTACTGAGGTTATAGCACCAATGTTCCTGTGTCTGCTCTTGTTTCTCAACCAAGTCCTGTTTTGCATACTATAATAGGGTATTGACTTAGGTCCTGCCCACATGATATGACTTTTGACTAATGTTATAACCAGTTGGAGGCACAGACATCGTAACTGGCTATGAATAACACAGTTCAAGTTATGTCCTAGTCCAGAAATCTTTACAGGATTAGAGTCCTAGAAACAACAACTCTAAAACTCCCATGAAGGATCATCTTTGGTTAAATTTTAATAAAAACGAAAGTCCAAAAACAAAATAAAAACAAACCAAATAAATCCTCTCAAAAATAAAACCAAACAAATGAAACATATGTCATTCAATATTACACAATGTTGAGACTAAGTTCAGATTGCTAAACTAACAGAAATCAGGAGAGTCAAAGTTCTCATTGACACTCTGTACTCTGATCTGACATAACATTTGAGCTATAATCACAAGGCATAGCTAAATGATGTAAATCAGTGGATCACAGGTTTAACATAGAACTTACTGGCTTTTAGCAACTTTCACAAACATTCCAGTGTTATTTTTATAATATTTCATAAGTAGTAATACAAATGCTGATTGATGGCTATATGTTTAACTGCTTTTTTCTGATTTTCAAGATCTAAGCACTAAGGGGTTAATGTAAAATAGTGCTTTATCCCTAAACTTTTATGAAATGGGGGTTCCCGTTCTTTTTGTGATGGCATCAGTAACTCTGTTTACTGCACTGTACATAACTTATAGGAGTTCCTAACATACTGAACTAGTGTCGTATATCAGGGACTCCTTGGTCAGCACAGTAAATAAACTAACCTCCAGTTACTAATATAAGTTTCTTATTCATTTGATATCCAAATGGGTCATTCAACTGATAACATCTCATGTTCTTCCCTGCTTAATCTTTGCTTTTAATAAAAAAACTATCCATACATACCAAAATGCAAGGGTAGATTTTGCATAATTTATATTTCTTCCTTACAAATTTTGCAAAGAACATTCTTCTATGAATTTCGGTTATTACAATTAAACGACATATTCCAAAATATCTACAGAATCCAGTTTTCTTGTTAATCAATGGCATTATTTGTCTCTGCTTCTTAATTTTTTTTTCAATTATCGCTAATTAAGATTTTAAATTTCTGCTTACCTTTTATCTTTAACATTTGTATGTTCATCCATATAATTTTTTTAATAAAACATAAGCTATCTTCATAGGTAGTACTGTTTAAACATAAGACTACACTGGAGGATGAAGGCATAATGAGTGCAGCCCTTAGTGACGGGATTTCCTTAAGGTTAATGCATGAAGTTCATTCATTCCTATTCACTATAAAATTTAATACAGCTTTCCGCAGTTACTGGAAACTTTAGAATCCTGGAATGTAGTTGATTTACAATAAATCAAATCCTATAATGAGGAACGACTAAAAGATGGGAAAGCCGCATTTGTCCCAGAACAATACAATTATATAGCTGTCAAAGTTATTTAAAAAACAAAGAAAGGCTACCTACCAGTTCAACTCGTCCAAAACCTCCAACTCCAAGAGTGTCAATGATGTTGAAATCAGACAGTTTCAGGTTGGCGAAGAAGGCAGCTTCAGCTTCATATCTGGATTTTTTTATATGAAAAAATGGAAATTTCTTAGAGGTGCAAACCTGGGTATTGCATAAGATTGTACCTGAATGGCATGAGTGTGGAACAGGATTTACCTGTTTAACTTCCATCTTGTGTCAAAGTCTGTGTTTGTTCACACTCATAGTTTTGTTGGTCTCAATTGTAAAGTATAACATATATTTGCATTTTCCCCCCAAAGTAGGAAAATCAAAGTTTCTACTGTGTGTCTATAAAACAAATTTTTTGTACTGTAATTCAATTCCAGTTATCAATTGAATGCTACATTTTGACACTTCCTATTAATCTTCTGCTGAGGACTGTTTTGCCTTTTAGTATTTCTGGAAGATAAAGTCTCTCATATGAGTTTCCCTTATCCACAGGCAGTAGTTTCTATAAATGTTTATTGAAAGTAGCAAGATCATTAAGGTCCCTGGAGAGCAATCCCAGCCAAGTTATATGAAATCAGATCCAATAAGCTGAGGGCTGGCATGCAAATGTCTGAAATGAATGACTTCAGACACATATTAACATTCCTAAAAATGTATCTTCTCTTCTTTTATATTTATAAGCTTATTTAGAGCAGAAATTCCCACCTAGTATCCGACAGTCCTGAAGCTCTCTCCTTAGCCTGTGTACAAGTGGCTTGCAATAAAAGTTCACAAAGCACTAACTATGCAAGCATGCAAATCTGACACATGCAAGCCTGCCAAAATAAGCTTCCCACAAATATAGTTGTGAATATGAATCCCTTAAAATATCTCCTTGTTGAGGGTTATGGTATTTTTAGAAGGCTCAGAAGGCAGATGGATGAACAGGATCCACCCGCTTAATAAACTTTGGACAAGGGGCATTCAGTTGCCAAAAAAGTCCCCAGTGCATGTGCATAGTCAAATGCAACCTTTGACCTTCAGGAACACAGAATTGTATGTGAAAGTAATGTTGACAAGATTATGAACACAAGCATGCAGGGTAGGAATTGTTTAGTGAGTTTACCGATATACAATATTTAATGTTATGCCCATATTTTGCATTTAGAGGATCCAAATAGCCTACAAAGTACTATTTCATGATAACATAACAAGTAAGCATGGCTCACTACAGATAAGGTTTTAATATTTTCTGATAATACAGTCATGATAAAATGTCATAATGTTATTGATGATCATATACACCTATCCATCCACCTATCTTTTTAATGTAGCTAATCTATCTATCTAAACTGTCAGGGCTGTCACTGAATAATCTAATCTAATTCAATAATGGAATGTAACTGATTTACTCCCACCTTATTCCCCTCAAACCAGCATTCGTTATTCTTTTTAAAAGTGAAAGGACATTGTGAGGGCAGGGAAAGCAGCAGTTGACCTGTTCCAAGGTAACAGAGGAGCAGAAAAAGAGGGATGGGGGCAGGGAATGAGTTTGGAGTGGCCATATATAACAAAGACCAAATTAAAACATAATACAAGGCAATCCTATCTTGTGGTTTCTGATAACAAATTAGTTGAGTTCTGCTTTATTATTTTTAATGGCGTCAGATTCTCTCAATAACCTTGAGCCTATGGCCATAGCATTCTGACTGCATCTGATATTGGAAGCTAATCAGTGCTGAGTCTGTTTAGTACTTGGAATAACCTTGCATGACATGGCTGCTTATTGATCATTTTATACTAGCCATGATGTGCATATTAAACTGGCAACATAAAAACTAAGTGTTGTTGGTAAATAAAAGGTCTACTTATAAATCTCCTTATTTCTAAATAACAAAGAACAAATTATATTAGCAGTTGCAATCCAGTCAGGAAAGCTGTTACTTCAGTCTGGCTGCCTGGACCAATTTAAACTATAAATATATTACAGTTTGTGACTTCTAATGTTGTAGGCTCTTTTGGCTGATTTGCTACATTTAATAGTTTCTAGATGTAATGGTAGGGCTGAGATCCTGTCAAGGATTTGCACCCTAGTATTGAACCAACTGATGGAATGCTTCCCATTTCCAAGTCATAAAGCACCACATTAGCCATCCTGATTCTGTCCCGTACCTGTGGAAACTCATTTTGTAATGGTGCGGCGGGAAGGAGCAAGACAATGTGGTGACTGGGTTTATCAAATGAGGAGCTCTATATGCATTAAGCCAAGTCATTTATTCCACAACATAGGACATGTGATATGCACTTGGGGAGTGCCATGCTGACCAACCCATGATGTCAGGGAGGCTTAGGATCAGGTAGTCCAGCCCTCTTCCCCAATCCTGGGAAACTTGATTGGATTTCCCCAATGCTGAGGAAGCAGTGGATCTGACATGCTAAGTGCATTTTTTCTAGTGTTGTTAAGGCCTCCATGATCAGTTTTTGCATAGGAAAGACATGGAATAAATCGTTTTCATTTCTATAATGCCTTTTATGCTGAAAGACTGCAAAGTGATGCATAAACTTTGTACAGTTCATTCAATTCCACTTGAGAGGAGAAAGCCTGCCCCAACATCCCAAAATAGAGTACAAATGAACAGGTGCTCTTTCTGATTCTTGGGTATTCCATGAACCCCCTTTACAACCTCCAGTACAAAAGAGCATTTTGCAGCAAGCATATATCCTTCATCTTTCTGTGTAGAGAGTCACAAAAATTGATGCTCTAATGACAGCTTTTAAATTGGGCTTTCTGTCTTAATAAAAAAAAGTTAATTAAAAATATTTTTAAGCTTCTACGATGCATTATTTAATTTTTCTTCTTTTTGGCTAATTTTGTTTGGTAGATAGCCTGGTATTCTATGGTCAGTTCAAGGAAGACTGCAAAGCAAATTTTGTACAGTGTGCCAGATACTTTGTCAGGGGCATTATAGAAGAGAAAGAAATGAATTATATATATTCTGAAACAAAAATATATGTAAAAGAAAGCGTACAGACCAGACAACAATCCTATTTGGTCCAACAATGATAATTACACCCTAATTCTGTTTCATTCCTAAAAGTAAAGGTCAAACTTTAATCCCATTCAAGCTCCAATAAAAGAAGGAGACTCTCATCCTATTCTATTTCTTAAGGAAAATTATTTAGGGCCAAATTCTGCCCTTATATATGTGCATGTAAATCCTTGAAAAAATTGAAGTCAGTCTGGAGTAACTTCACTGAAGTCAGTTACTTCAGATTTCCTGGATGTCAGTTAAAAAAAGATTGGCCCACAGGCCATGGAACGCTTTCCCTACATATCTAAGGAGAAAATTTAGCCCCTACTTCTAACAGTAAAAGATTTGCACTGGGTTTTAGCTGTAGAGCTAACTTTAACAGGAGTCATATAGCTCAACACTGGAAAAACCTAGCAGTAAATCTCTAATGTAATTTAAACAAAAATATCAGAGTGAAAACATGCCTGTTCGTGCCATAAATTAGGAATCAACCCTTTATCCTAGTTGCCCTTAATACCAAGGATATGACTTCAATCTACTTTCTTCTTATCCATTAATTTGATTGTGTGCTGCTTTCTAAACCAAAAACTGAATGATACTGGAGTGTGCACTCTCTCAGAAACAGTTTCAGTCATACTACTAATGGCAGACAATGGGCAAATATAGTACATTCAAACCATTCTGTCTACAACATTGAAATAAGATTTCTCAATTTCATGTAAAAGAGAAGCAGTATCTTATACTTTTACCAACTACATGTTACATGAGTTATTCTATAGTGAATTTGCTTAATTCCAAAAATATTCTCCAAAGTGCATTTAGTCATAAAGGATTAGGAGGGCAGTTCAATGAAATACAGATACATTTGAAAGTTAAATAATGTATGTACACAGACATGTCTTGTTTTGGGCAGCTCAAAGAACCAGCTGCTGACAGAGACATCCAAGTCCTTGGAAACCCAACCCAGCAGGGACAGGATGAAATGCTAGTGAGATGTGTATTACTCATGTTCTAGTGATAACTGGTGTGTTGTACAATCTGAAGTAACTTGAATCTCCTTGGAAAAATATACACACAAGTTCTGGTCATATTTCTTAATGATTTCCATGACAGAGATTCTAAAATCTTTCTCCAGCTGGCATGGCAGAAGTGTTTGAGGTAGGTTAGGGGAGAAGGTTATACACTAGATATCTGGCATGTAAATAAGGTCTCCAGGTTTGTTTGAATTAGCCATGATCCTTTTTGACCTCTGGAAGGGTTGGTGACAGCCATAAAAATAATATTTAGTTATATAATTTAATAAAGTAATTAATGTATAGAGGTACAATGAGCAGCCACAGAGAGGTTCTGAAGTTTGGTTCAGTATTCAAAGGTCTGAATACTTATCTGAACCATATTCAAATGCTCAGAAATTCTTGGACCTGGATAGCAGCTCAGTGAATTTGAAAGAAATTGGCTATATTGAGATTTCTGGTACTTCTTTCCTTAGTTGGGCTAAGAAATATTTCAAGAACAACCTTTCTCAAGTTATTTATGCATTTCCACTTCTGATCCTAGAACCACCTGGCAGAGGGCCTTGAAAATGCAAGTGAAAATACAAAGGAAAAAAAGTGGATTGAAATTTTTCAAACAAAAAAAAGTTGATGTGTCAAATGTGTAAGGGGGAGTTATTCTTAGCGAACATGGATTCTCACCAAAGTATTCAGCTGATAGGAGGAAAAAAACCAAACATGCCTTATAACCCAAGTTATCCATGCAAAGCAACCAAACTTCTTCTTTTAAAGCATTTTCAAGAATTTAGACAGCAATTTTCAAAGGAGATGAAGGGAGTTAGGCAATCAACACCTACTGAATTCCAGTGGAAACTGTCTGCCTAACTCCCTCAAGATCTTTTTTTCCTTAGATAAAGATAATACCTCACTTTTTTAATAGGAGAGATTCCCCTTGTCTTTGCAAACATTTAGGCGTCTAATCTCCTTGCCTTGGATGTTTAATGTCCATTTATGTTAGAGATGGACAGAAAATAAAACATAAGCTATAGTTCAGATTTGACGGTGACAAAATCTCATGAGCTGTTCTACTAAGATTTTTTGCAAATCTGCCTAGAAGCAATTTTGCCACCTTATTTCTTCTGAACCCTCATGAAAATGGTTATCTTTTTGATATCTCAGAAAACAAAACAAATACTAGAAATCAGCCTTCTTCTGGTTCTTGTTTTGGCAGGTTTTGGTCTTGTATCCAAACCACCTCCTTCCCAAAATTCAAAGAGTTCCAATCAGTGTCCTAATTTTATACCACATTTAGTATTAACTGAAGTTATATGTTTAAAAAAAAAGTTGTCAAGAGGCCCCAACCTGTCGCTGGTCACTGGGCAGAAATCCCATTGCACAGAATTTCCCATTATTTTCAAACAGTAGTCACTGAATCAAGCTGTAAGTATTTGTATAACACATGTTATGCAGGGAGGCTGTGGTGAGAAAAGCTTTTGGCCATTTGCATAGTATGTTGGAATGTCCACGTTCCAACTATTTAACTAACAGATTGCTGCATAAAAACACAAAGAATTACTTTGAAATAAAATTTAAATAGGGCTTGAAATGTATCAAGAGTCACCACAATCTTAATCACTCAGGCACTCAAAAAAGAATGAGAAAATGACACAAGAACAGAAATTTGTAATTACCCTATTATTTAGTTTTACTGAGCTGGCTAATAAATGAACTTAATGTGTTGGGAAACATTAGACATCTGTTACTAAGCAGTCATCTCCAATACAAAACTTAGCTTTATTCCATGCCAACTAGATGTAAATTGTAACCAATTGGGAGCCAACAATAAACTCACTGAAACTAATAAAATGACTTTAAAGAAAAAAAAGAATTTCTGTGCCTTTTTCAATGATATCCATTTATTCAATGGCTAATTTCTTGGGTTTTACATTCCATTTTATTGGCCAGCTGAATTGTTTCCATACTCTAGCTTTTTGCCATACTCAGTGTAATTTTGCAAAAGAGATTTTTGGACTCTTTGCAGAATGTTAGATAAACTAGTTTTCTAGCATCTGGATGACTCTGTTCAAGTCTGGCCTACAGTAGGTCACATATGTAGTATAATAATATGTAATAAGCTTTATGAACTCTACCTATTTAATTGGCACAGGACAATACCCCAAAAGCAAAACATATTTCCAAACAATTAATATTGCTTGTTCAGTAAGAGTCTAGAACTGCAATAAATTGGATCCGGGGTGGGCACATTTGTAGGACTAGTGCAGAAGGCTGCACAGTGCTAACTAGTACTTGTTCTGGCTCCAGGAATCAACCTGTATTTTAATCAGAAAAACATTCAATAACACAACCTAAATAAAAAAAAATATTCGTAGTCTAGCTCCCTCTTCCTAATAGTCAAAAAGAACATTTTAGCTCTCTATGAGTACTCTGTTTAAAGAATATAATTTAAATAATCTATGAGAAAGTGTAACAAAAGTTTCTTTATTCTATGTATTGTGACCTTAACTATCTCAATTTCAATATCATTGAACTGACCTTTATTTTGTTGTGGTTTATCATTTCCTACTGATTTTCATGTGCTTTTAACTAAAGCTTTGTAAAGTGGCATACTTGTCATCTTTAATATTAGTTTTCTGCCACTGGAATACTTATATATGTGTTGTGCAGAATTAGAGATACACTAGTGGGATGTATTTGGTCAAAAAGGGGACTGATGCAAAATGATTATGATTTGTTTCAGAAAGCAAGTTACTCCTAATCTCCTCCCTGGGTGAAATCCTGGCCTCACTGAAATTAATGGCAAAACTTTTATTGACTTAATTGAGGTCAGGATTTCATCCCTATAGAATCTTGTGTTTGTATTACACAGGGAGCAGAAGGAAAGCCATTGCAACTTAGGGTCGTCTCTAAGGCCCCCAAATACTTTAACAGATGTAGCTGTAAATATGTGGATGGATTCCATTGAATACATTAAGACTTATGTGCTTAAATTTACACATGTGCTTATGTAGCTGGGGATATTTTGTGATATGACAAGAACTTCTAAAACTGTTGGTTTTCATTATATTAAATAACACAGTCCATCAACTCCTGCACCAGAACAGTTTTAGGAGGAACTGTTATCCTGAACTGTGTATTGAAAATTTGTTAGCAAGCAACAGATTCTTCAGTGATGGTAATGAACCTGCTTTTTAGGGTAAGTAAATTGAAGGTGATAAGCTGGTTTAAATTAGTGAAAGAATGAATTTCACCTAATGAAACTGCAATGTTGAACACTTAAGAACAAAGTTTATGAAAAAGAATTTATCATCATTTCGATGATAAAGTATTTTTCTCACTTCTTTTCTCTATGATCTGGTATACTTACACTGTACCTTGTAAAATATACAAACTGCTGCCCTCCCATGGCTTCTGATGGCTATACAGATAACTTGCTACGCCAGTTCTAGGTACATTTTCTGGATTGGATTTGTGTACACCAGTTGGTAAATAGAAGTGCAATTGTAGGCACTGGGGGATTAAATTCAAGCAATGAGTATTCATATTTGTTAGTAATGTAAACAAGAAGTAAATTATATTATTGTTTCCATTCCCACTGTATTATTGACTGTCCAATTTTTTGTAATGTAGATTAGGATATTTATTTAAAGGTCAAATTTCAAATATTTTATTTCTACTATATGTGATTTACCCTTGGAGAATATGGAATTTATGAACGAACACATGGGCAAAAGCAAAAAATAAACTTCTCATGTTGGTTTTGCATGAGATCCTTACCTTCAACTATGCCCTGTTTGTGTGGGGCACAGACGATAAATCAACTTGCACACCTTAGCCACATTCAGGCAACAGAGAGAAGTGCGGAAGATCGACAGAATATATTACAAGCAGCATGATCCAGAACCTGGAAATGCCTGTAAGCAGATTCTTGAGAGGCATTTTGTGTTTCTTTATAAGGCTGAACAGCTGCAGAGATGGTGTCAGTCATCCTCTCAGAGCTCCCACCCTATGTGTGGGCACCAGTGATCTTCTATCGTATGCTCAGTGTGTTGGTCATCTTCAATATTACATACAGCTGGTGGAGATGTCCCTTAATGGACCATTGTAGTATAAAGAATTATGAAGATGATATTGCTCTTTCAGGATTCAATCCTGCCAGGTGCTGAGCATCCCCAGCTCCCACTGGCTTCACGGGGAGCTGAAGGACCTCAGCACCTCCCAGAATTGACCCCCAAGTTATCATTAGGTGCAGTGATGGCTGAGATGTCCAAGTCTGAGTACAAGAGGCAACAGCAGTAGACTGAATTTTCCTGAGGTGGAAAAAAACACTTGTATAGGTAAATTCCTATGTTTTGTATCTCCTACCTCCAGGTACCCATTAACTGATTTTTAGATGCTCTTTCATGGCACAAAAATGCCGTTTCATACAGACCCTTTTTGAATGAACTCTGCCATTGGTAAGATAAAAATGTCAAGAAAGAGGCCTTTTCTTCAATTATTTTACTGACAAATACTGTATATAGTAGTTATATAGTAGTACAGAAAACTGTATTCATTTTTATGGCCCATCAAATCATACTAGTAATGTCCCATTACATCAGATTAGTTTATTAGTTCATTTATTAATACAGTATCACAAAATCATATTGGGACTTCTCCATTTATAGGAAAAGACAAAATGATTCTAACAAGACACTGCACTGTTAGATAAAAATAATGACACAACAAGACTTTGACATCCCCTTATTGAAGGATTGTCATTTTTGTCCACTACAGCTCCCAGTGCTGCTGACCAGAAGGGGCTGGCCTGTTACTGCTATGATTCTGAACAGGACCGTTTGCCCTTTCCACATGCATATGGAACAGGAGGCATTCTAGTATGTCCATACAGTCCATTTTCTGCATTTATTTGCTGTCCTCATGGTAGACCATATCTACAGGGGACAGACATGATCAACACTTGGAATAAAAACAGATCTTTACTTATTAAAACAGTAACAGACAGGAATTTGCTGCACTCCCAGTAAGAGCAAGAAAGACGAAATCATCACATTAATCTTTCACCCCAATCTTACTTTTTCATAAATATTAAAGGAAAGGGAGAAAGAAATATATATTCACAGGAAAAATATTCTAAAAGAAGAGGATAATAAAACCTTTCTTTAGTTCAGGTCTCCTTCTTCCAGACCAAGATCCTTCTGAGGTCAGCAGTGCAGTGGCTTTAATTCCTGGTTTAGCTGCTACCACTTCATTTTACCCATTTTACTTTCCACTGAAAATCCAAATCAGAGAGTTTATATTTGGATTTTTAAAAGCAATGAATAGTGAGCTTGTTGTGCTTGTGGCAACTATGCAATTGAAAGTTACAACTTCACAGACAATTGCATTAAAAAGAAAGGTTTTCTTTCTTTTCAAGTTAATGTTGCTAAGGCTATGCATTTTGGTTTAACCTACCACCACTTTAAATTACAGCGTACTTGCCTTTAATGAATTCCAAATCAGGAGAAATAGCATACCTCCTAGTTTAGATTTTCTAACAGAAAGTGAACATTTGAGTTGCAGCTAAAAGAGACATTAAAGCTATGGCATCACTAACTTCCTCTGGAAGGGGAAGGAGATCTGAAATTAAAAACATAAAGTTAAAAACTAACAAAGAAGTGATTTTTCACTAGAAAAATATTTTTACTTATTTTCAAACTACATTACTTAGGAAGTAGAATTATTAAGTAATATGCATATAATATCTATGTTCACAATTTGTTCATAATAATTTTAACGTTTTTGAACTATTTTAATAGATAAATAAATAAGTCTCAATTCAAGGACACTGCAGATTAGGTATTGTAATGGGTCCAGTATTACATAAAACTGCCATTGAATGCACTCTGATTTATCGTAGATACAAAGTCATATCTTATTTCCAAGCTGATACAGTTGTATTTCTAAATGAAAAAAAAAATAGCAGCTCTTTAGTAAAAGGATTATACCTAACAGTACTTTACACATGTTATGACTAGAAGTTAGTAGGATTATATCTAGAGGACCTTCCTTCTCTGGATAAATAATGTGTGGAGCGTACTTGATCAGCCTTAATTGAAAAATAAACCTGACAACCCTGCAAATGAAGTGAGAAAGATTGCCAGAAATGGCTCATCTCATCCTATTGTTTGCTAAGTCGATAACCTGCTCTCCTCTGAAGTGAAAAAATACATTATTCTTTTCAAAAAGCATCACTGTTTTTGCTTTTGTCTGAGTCCAAATTCAACCTGTTGGCACGAAAAAATGTGTAACTTCTCATTGTAACAAGATGTGTTTAGGTGGCTCACACACTGTTTACTGCAGTCTTACAAAATTCTATCTGCCCATTTAAATAAATACTTTATTAAAATAAATATTTTTTTGATGGGAGAATAAAATGTTTTTTTCATTATCATCCTAACTGTAAAGTTTGAGGAATAGATTTTATGTCTGATCAATTTTCATGACAATTTTGCAATTAGATTAAAAAACAACAGAGCAATTCACTGGGTCAGGCTTACTGTACAGACAGACAAAGCAAATCCAAAGCAAATCTTTGGTCACAGTATTAATGAGTTTACTTGCAGTCCTCAAATAAAATTGGTAACGTCCTTAAAATGTTAAACTGTACATTCAATATGTCTGAGAACAACATGAATTTTAATGTAATCAGTTCAGACACCAAATATATTTGACGTAAGAAAATCCTTACAGTACATGTGTTTAACATGAAACAGAATTAAAGCACTACTCTAGGATGAGATTTATTGTGCTAACTGAACAAGAGTTCATAAAAGATATTTCACATCAATTCCTCCTGCTATTATAAATTCTATAGCTATCATGTGGAATGCTATTGACAGAGGATGGGATTTTCAAAATGCCTTAAGGGAGTTAGGCACCCAATTTCTATTGAAAACCAATGGGAACTTGATGCCTAACTGCCTTAGGTGCTTTTGAAAATGCCACCCAGAATAGTTATATCATGTACTTAGAGTATTCAATGCCGAATTCTGTCCTGCTACTCACATAGCCCACCTTCTTTCTTGGGCATTTGGTGAGGAGATGGATTGCTGGGATGGGGAGGTAGTGGGACTGCTGATAGGTGTTGATGTTAAGGGGGGTAGTTTTTTTCCCCCTTGGGCAGTTCATTAGACCTACTGAAATGACTTAGCATGGGGAATCATATCTGCACTGATGCTGACAGTGAAGAGCTGAAGAGGAGGGCATCAGTCCCTGATCTTAGGACTGCCAGGGCCAGTTTAGTCCAAGTCAGGTGTTAGGGCAGACTCGAAGGCTGTGTCCTGGCTATAATCAAACCTATGGGTACCACTGGAAATAGCCTGGGCTTAGAAAAAACTCAAGGGTCCTGTAGCATGTGGTGTAGAGCTGACTATGCTGATCTTTTGGGGAAACTCTTACACCAGAGATATTTTCCAAGGGGCAGTGAGCATACAGTGACATTGTTGAGCTTTTACAGTGGTGAAATCTGTATACAAGGGTTTCAGTGCCTACATTCCCCATAGTGTGTCATGAAATATTATTTGCAGTTTAATAGTGCTTAGTGTTTAGAATGGGTACTCAAATAATTCAAATAAATGAAATATGACATTCCATTGGGTTCAATGGAACTTTATCTTTCTAACTGAAAGAATACACTCAGTAATGTTCCATATATATGTGACTGATTAAAGAGGCAGTATCTTTTATTTGGTACTTTTATTTTCTTTAGAACAATTAAACAGAACACTGCTGTTGACATTGCAACCAATTCATCCATCCAACAGTTGCTTTATCACTTTCGGTATAACCCCGATTCGGTATAACCCCTCGGTATAACAGCAATTTAAAACTCAGCCATAAACATGTGATGCCAGCTGGAGTTTGTCAGGCAGGTTCGGCCCAGGAGCCAATTATTTTTTGCCATGTGCAAAATTTTTTAAAAACATCATATTGATTTTTAAGAGTGCCGAGGCCTGGTCTGAGACTTTTGCCACTGATTTCATTAGAAACTAGACTAGACCCATAGAATTTAAAACAAAACAAAACATGACAAAACATAACAGTTTCCAACAAATATTTGCACTTCTCACACAGCATAATTTTAGCCCTTACTAGGAACAAGGGATTTTGATTATTTTAATTAAAATAGATGAGTTAAAATTTGAACATTGCTGGTAACAAGACATTTTTTAATTACTTAATTTTAATAAAGACATTTTTCTTAACACTGTATCTTTCCATAATATGAACCAAGGACCATAATGGCTACAGAGCATCTGATACACTCTACTGTGTCAATTTTATATACATACCTGAATATATGAACATATAAAAACTCAGTTTTTGGATTGTACGGGAGTAAGGATGCCTCTGATAAAGTTCGTCCCTCTGGTAGAGTTCATTTCCCTTACTTCTACTGCTAAAGCATCCCTGCAAAAGATATTTTTGACCCTGTCTCTGGCTAACTTATAAAGGGCCAGGTCCAAAGACCATTGAAGTCAATGGGAAGATTCCCACTGATTTTGGATCAGAATCCATTCTGGATGAGTGCAGCTGTGGGTTCACAGAACAGGCTTTCACAGGGCTGCTGAGATTGGCGCTTTGAGTCTCAGGGTTAGGGCTGGCTGGAAGCCAGATTTTTTGTTTCTCAGGATTTCGAAAAAAATTCTGT